ATTGACTAAGACTGTGCTAAAGAGATTGTGGTTGCTTCCAGACTAGAACTCTTAGTGCAGCTGAGATATTGCTTTTCTGCACTTAGCTAAAGGGGGATTAAATTGGAGGTAAGGCATGGCACTTAATATAATGATATATTATGCACCAAGGCCTTATGGCCAAATTGCTTTAGTAATGTTTCCTCATAAGTAAGTCCTACTGAATGAACATCTTTTCTGATGTCAATTAAAAGCTTCGGGTTTACCGTTAATGGTCATTGCCTTGAGTACAGCCAAGGGATTAGCGAGAAATTGCACCTTAATAGCACTGGCCCATAGGACACAAGTAGTCACAAGGACCATTTATTCAGCCTTTCTCTGGTCCACATGCAATTCAAAGGGAGGGGAATTCTTAATCACAAAATGGTACCAAATTATTTAAAATCTAATGCAAATGCTATGGGTTTTTCTGTTCTACTCAATTTCATATGCCTCTGCCAAAGCCTGCAAAAACAGAAGAAAATAAGTCTGAATAGGAAAGGAAGTAACATCATGTCACTTCCAGTTCACCAGCAAGGGTCTGCAATAGTGCAGAGGTCAAAACCACTAACTGCAGGAAATCTGCTGACTGGAAGGTTAGCAGTTCAAAGCCACGAGTCGGGGTAAGCTCCGGCTGTCAGCCCTAGCTTCTGCCTACCTAGCAGTTCACAAGCATGTGATGCGAGTAGATCAATAGGTACTGCCTCGGTGAGCAGGTAAAAGGGCAGCTCATGCAGACATGCCAGCAATGACCAGAAAAAAGTCAATGGACAATAGGCTTCTTGGCATAGAACAAGAGCACCTCCCCATGGCCAGAGTTGAGCATTTCCTCCAGGCACCAGGGATGGAAAGGGGAAGGCCTTTACCTCTGTCTATCTGTGTATTTTTTAAAATATATTTTAATAAGTTTTCTGTGACATAAATTAAAATCAGATAACGAAAAGAAAAGTGTGTGAGGGGAGAAAGAGAAGGGGGGAGAGGGGAGAAGAAGGAAGGAGGAGAAGGTGAAACAAAGAAATTGAATAGAATAAAAATAAGAAATAATTTTTTAAAAAAAGCAAATATAGAGAGTTGATTGAAGATCTTCCTGACTTCCTGAGTATTTCGTTGGAGGTGTTCTCCTTTTCTTTGTCGTCTGGTCCCCCTATCTGTGTATTGTATGTCATTGTTCACTGTGTAAAAAGGCCTTGAATGTTTGTCTTATATATGTAAACCGTAATCCGCTCTGAGACCCTCCGGGGAGATAAAGCAGAATATAAATAAAGTGTATTATGTATTATTAATCCAGTGCTTTAAATGCCTTTATACTTTGTTTTAATTCACTAGTATTTCAATCAGATAGTTTGTTTCATGCTTTTATTTTCACTTTTGCCAATACAACTGATTTTAGCTGAACTCTTAATTGAGGTTGTGAGCCACCTCGGGTCCCACATTGGGAGAGAGTCAGATGCTTTCTTCTTTAATGGAGCAAACAAGCAAGAAGAGGTTTTTGGTTATCAATAGCACAAAAGAGGCGTGGCTATTGGCACATGTTTGTTCTCTCTCACTTGCGCCATGGGCAACAAAGATAGACAGTGGTTTAGTACATATTCCATTGCTTCTTTCACCTGAAACGTTGTTGTGAATAAAGCATCCCAAGGAAAAACAGCTCTGAAACATGTAATTTCTAAGGCAGCTGGCCAAGAAAGCCATGTATCTATAACTCTGGTGCTGGGATGCTGCCATTTCAGCAGCTCAGGCACCGGGGAGATAAGGAATTCTTGTAAGAAAACCAGAACTGATCATCATTAACTGCCATTTACAGGGGTCGTTGGGAGAGTGAAACAAACAGAGCTTATGGGTCATGAGGTTGAGTTGAAGTTTGCAAGGTTACAGAGGTGGAAGTGGCAAGATTTCTGAGTTGGACTCAGAAAATATAAGCTGTTAACTGAGCTTGTAGGAAAGACTTTTTACCTGTCCGAATGCAGACCCAGTTTACCTGTCCGAACTCATCTCTCCCTATGAACCATCTAGGCACTCTGGAGAGGCCCTGCTCTCGGTCCCGCCCCCTTCACAGATGCGATTGGTGGGAACGAGAGACAGGGCCTCCTCAGCAGTGGCCCCTCGGCTATGGAACACCCTCCCTAGGGATATTCGATCGGCCCCCTCCTTCCTAACATTTCAAAAGAGAGTCAAAGCCTGGCTATTTGAGCAGGCATTTGCAGACGCAGTATAACATATTAATTGAGATTCACAGAACAATTGGACGATGCAACGGAAAAATGATTTTAGTGATGAGATGCTGAGGACTTGTGTTTTATGGTTTTTATTGTTTTATTGCTTTTATATAGTTTATATTACATGTAATGTTTTAAATTGTATTTTATGTTGTTTAGTGGCATTGACTGCCGACTGTAAACTGCCGCGAGTCACCTTCGGGCTGAGAGGGGTATAAATATGGTAAATAAATAAATACTAAGATGTGCACATTTCCATATCATCTGTTCTTAACATAGTCATCTTTCTCTCTTTCTACACAGATTGTACTATGTTACTTCCAGTTCTTTTTGTGGCAACTTCTAACACAGATTCTGGAATCTGGATGATTCCAGGACTTTTGAAGGCACTATAGTGTTTAAGTATACAAGACTTAAGAGATTATTGTATTTCTACTCAACAAAGCAGAAAAACAACCAGTGATGGAAAACTTCTCTTAGCTCAGTTTGGAATACTCTGAAGTATCAGGGAGCCTGGGAAATTGCTCCACCCCCAAATCTGAGACACTGCTGTGGTAACAGAGATTGCTATAAAGTGTTGGCTAAAAAGCAATTGAATCTTAAAAATAAAATATATACATAACTTTCAAAAAGAATGACATTGGATTTGTAATTTGCCAGACTATAGTAAGCAGAACAAGTTGATATTCTGACACAGGTAATGATGATTCATCCCTAGCAAATCACACATGGAACATTTGGCAAGGGGCTTATCTAAATTACGACATTGTGCTATGTCAGTAACAGCAGATCGACTTTTTGCTCTCAGGAAATGGCATTGCTAGATCCAGCATAAGCTTCAGAAATCAGGTTATTCCTGCTGAAATTACAGCAGCCATCCTGATAGCCAGCAGTCTGCAATGATCCAGAGCAATCCATGAGAAAAAGGGTTTAGGTGTGCAAGTCAGAAATACAAAGTTTGTAAAGTTCTCCCAACTTCTTTTATTGGGAAAAAAAACTGTTCCAGAGAAAGCTTTTAAACATTTACCACAACACATTCTGATGCTTCATGAACAGGATTTATTGGCATCAAGGCTCCATCTCAGCAGCCCTTCTGAATGCTGATGTTCAATTCTATTATTACTCTACACTTTTCAAAGAGGACAAAGGCAGTTTGGTATCAGCAGAGCCCAAATCCTTCATGAGTGAGTCAAACGCAGCTGCAAGTACTCTACCCATCTAGGATCAGGGTTTTCAGTCAGTAACAAACATGAGTCTACCTCTTCTCCCCACCCTCTCTATTCAATTTGTTCTCAGTAGGTTACAGGGATTCAGATCTGTGTCAAAGGCTGTAAATGTTTTGTTGGCACATTAGAAAAAAACTGTAATAATCCATGAAGCAATAAAAGATATCCTTTTTGCCTTATGGCTGAAAAGTCAGACTCTGATAGTTGCAAAGCAAATCTTTCTTAAGGGCACAGTGAAGGCAATTTCAATAACTGAACTCTCATGCAGAACTATGTTCAAATTTTATTGGAACATATGCTCAACAAGCATAGACATCTGTATCCTTGTACATAGAGATGGCACAGAACTCTCCCTGGTCCTCTAAGGTGAATAGCCATTATTGCAATAAAATATATAGATCACAGAAGAAAATCTACAGTGCAACTGAGAAACTATTGTGTGCGGAATGTAAGATAAACCCTACTAGATGGCAGTTGCTGGATCAGACTTCATTACGTTCTCAAAAGTGGATGGCCAATAACCTCTCAGACAAATCACAAACAGAGCATGACATCAAGATAACAGTTTTCTGCCTCAAGCATCCCAATAATGAGGAATGTTTCCTCGCCTTTACCTGTCACAGCTAATACCATTAATGATGTGGCATCTATATCTTCTGCTATAAATCCTGAAGCAAGCTGTGAAATGGCTTTCTATTCTTGGTTTGAAAGAATATCCAGACATGGAATAACACTACAGTCTGACATGGAGTTAAAAAAGAAACCCCCTGTTTTCACCATCACAAATTTTGTAAAGCTGTGCTCAGTTCCATCATCTGATGGAAACAAGTATTTAGAATTAGCAAGGCACTCTATTTCTTCCATGGCGGGATGCTCAGATAATTGTAAACAATACTTCTATTTACATTAACATTGGGTAGTCAAATACACAAATGCCCTTTTCAAACACACACACAAAGTACACGTGATCTCAATTTAGTTCTATTTTCACATTTAATAACTTCCTCAGATTAATTCTCTTCTTACACTTTTTAAACAGGGAGAAAGTATTTCAACTATTACTCTACCATTACCCTCCTGCTGCCCTCCAGTTCTTTTTAAGGTGATTTTGCTTTTGACTAGACACTGAACCTTACAAAAATGTAGGTGAATTTGTTGGGGCACAATTCCCTGACAAAGGTTTTGGAAGTACAGAGATGATGAAAATCCAAAACTTCAATACCAGAAACAACATCCCCCTGCTCCTGGCTTTAAACTATGTCCTCTTCACATACTCTTCCTTCCCACTTCTATCCTTGCTTGCCTTCCTTACAAAAACTTGCAGCTTTCAACAGGTTTCATCCAACTTTCCAACAACATGCAGCTACAAGGGACAGAATAAGATGAAGGCAAATGTCTATATAATCAAGGGATAAAGGAGGAGATTTGAACAAGGCTCATCCCTTTTGAAAGGAAAGGAGGGGGGCCAGATCTCTTCTCCCACAGTCTCTTTAGGCAATTAATAGGAAAGCCTTCCCCTACAGAACAGGGGGCACTGTACCTGGCTCAGGATTACTCAGGTCTGGGAAGATGAACTGCTTGCAGGTATCTGGGTCCAACTGAGGTAGGCTTTTCTTGCGGCACAAGTCCGTGACAATCCGAGCTGCTGTCTGACAGTGGATTTCCTCTTTTGTGGCGGTCATTTCCCAAGCTGCATCTCCCTTTGCCTCCTACCTGGCTGACTAGGAAAGATTCCAGTGGAATAACAGCAGCACACTCACAGTGTCACACAATCTAGGAATCCACTACTGCCTGGGGTCATTCAGGCACCTCACTGCCCTGAAGGCCACTCTTGGAAGATATACGCTGAGTTCTGGGCTGAGCCTGTGCCACCTTGATGCCACTTTCAACAAACCACCACTTGCTACCGGCACCTTGTGATTGCCTTGTTGCATCCGATATCAGAGAGCTGTATTTACTGCCAAGACGTGTGCTGCACAAGGTTCCTCCTCTCCAATTCACTTTGACTCCCTCCTTGCATAGTTTTCAAAGCCAAATTCCAAAGAAGCTCTTTAACCTCTTCATTGCTGTGCCTTCCCTTCCAGGTGGTGGTGGAAGAGGCATTGCCAGGGACTTGTACGAAGCAGTAAAGCTCTCTCTGGAGCTCATGCAAGGTGGGGTGGCGGGAGAGAGAGCATTGAAATCCTCCAGCGCAGCAAAACAGCTTGTCACAACACAGAGCTGAAGCTGAGCAACACCATTGGTTACTAGACATGCTGTTTTCAGCACAAGGGAGGGAACAGGTTTTATTTATTGGCTTATTTCAGCCCTAACATGCTAAACTGCAGATTGCTAATAGGGCACCAGCCCTGTTTTGTGCTCAGTAATTAGATCATTGTTTTAATTTACAGTACCACTTCTGGGCTCCCACTGCCAGATCAGGCTGTGCAACCAATCTGCACGTAGAGGAAGTGCCAATTGTCAGGCATGAGCAATGATCCCATAATGGGCAATTAGAACAATACTCAGTAGAAATGAATTCTGGAGTGGAAGAGAGGAGGAGGAAGAAGAAGCAAGTCTAACAACATAAGAGATGATAAGGGGGCTGCAGCCTTGTTCTCATGGATCATAAGTAAGTGGGTGTGTGGAACAATGCTAATGAACATATAGTGTCAGATAATTACCTGTTAACGTAATTTTACAGGATCATGATGAATTGGTGTAAAATAATAGCATGTTCTAATTCCAGATAGGTGGAACTTGAATAGCATTGTTGCCTAAAAAGAGTCACAAATAGATGAAGAAAGCTTGGCTATGGCCTCTCAATAGTATTTTGCTTACTTCAAAGGGCAGAGAGAAAAGACAAAAACGGAGAGGGAGATTAGAAGAGTCAAATAGTTAAAAAGAAACAGAAGACTAAAGGAGGAATTAGCAGAGCCTTATAAACATATGAATAGAGTAAAGACGCTGAGGAGAGAAACTTATGCATATCTGCTATTTTGTACTTTCAGCATTAATTTCAAAATTCCACATCCCCTGTAACTTCATTATTAGTTTGTACGGCTTTTGTAGGATTCTGTGGTATAATTCCTGCCACTCTTGCTTTTCCCTTCATATCTTTAGTTGCAATGTCAATGGATTATACAAGAAACAAGGTAGTAACTATTCAAGCTTCTGTCTTAGCTTTTCAAGTTCTTGTTCATCTATCCTTTCCCAAAAAATGGCCATGGCTGAGATGTATGGACTTACTGTGCTGAGCAATCAAACCTGGCTATTTTTACCACCCACTAACAAATCACACAACAAAAGGAAACTAACTAACAAAATGTGGACTAAGGTAAGCTGATGCTAAGATAAACAGATCGATAGATGGACGACATCCTGTTTGGAACTAAGCCAATGTACAGTCATACATCTTTTGTATTCTCAGGTGGGGGAGAGGAGACATAACTGTATTGTCAGGCTCACTGCACAAGTGCAGCCAGCAGTATGGTCATTGCTCAAGACAGTGCTGGTGTAGAACATGGGCCAATACACAACAAGCCATGTTGCACAATGTTGTGTGCCAATGCACATGTCCCATGTCCTGATGTGCAACTTGCCCTGGTATAGAACATATCCTGATGGACAATACATCCTATTGTGAAACTGAAACCCCTGTTTTACAATGGGACATCCTTCATAGTGCCTGATGAACATCATGGCAATGAACTGACATGATTGCAGATTGTGATCTAAGTCGCATAGCACTGTCATCATAAAATTTTGTATTGTAGCCTTTAGTGTATGGTATGGGTCAGATATCTTTTACAAATGCATTAGAACTAATTTCTTTATTACTGAACTACAATATTTCAAGATTAAGGACCTTATTGCAAGGGAATATACTCCATTTCTGAGACTCCTTGAACATGATTCTGAAATGGTGTTTGTGCCATTCTATCAGTAATCCATCAAGATCTCTCTGCAAAATGTTGCAGAAATGGAATAATTGCACACAGGATTCTAATCGGGGTTTTTTTTTTAAAAAAAATTAATATGGCTCTGAAACTGTTTTTACTTGTGATCATAAAATCAGTATGCATTCTGTCATCTAAAATCTCATGAGAACAGTAGTTTGAGACTTCCAGGCTGTCACTGCACAATATTAGAAGAATTTTTTTAAGTGACAAAAGGAGGCATTTAAATGGATTGGGAGGAGCCATCCTTCCAAGGTGTGATCAATCAAAGTGCAGTATTTTCAAAATGTAAGAACTGGGTGTGATGGGGCAGTATGCATCCCATCTGAATACAGTATGCATCTCGTCCTTTAAAAAATACAAAATTCATACTGATATAAATGAAGTACAATCCTAATGTGATCAGCTCCTAGATCCTCCTTTGAAAAAATAGAATTGGCAACTAAGCGAGCTCTCCAAGCATCAAATGTCAAATCAGTCTACCCTAAATTCTGCCAGTCATTACCACAAGTCTGGCCCAAATATATCTTATATTTTCCTCCTCTTGCTTGCTCACCTTCCTCCAGATGAGTGTTAAGGTCAACACCGTTGCTACAAGAGTCAAGGTAAAATTAGTTCATGGGTGACATTTTTATCCTTCATTGATTGAAAGCCTTTTGCACCACAATGAGAATCCCCATCTATCGTGGGATCTGAAAATGTCCCATGTCCATAAAAGTGTTTTAGAGGCAAAACCAAAGGTACTCCACAATACACAAACACATTTCCACAGTTTTCATTAATACCAAACACAGAGCCAAAAAGTACACATTCACATGAGGTGGAAAGTATGTTTTGCATAAATGTCAGCCCTCTTTTTGTACAGCAAAACTACCTGTGGCTGAAATTTTGGGAGATTCTTTACAATTCTTCAGGGGGCAGTGGCATAAAATCCTATCTTGAGGTTTAGTTCTTTGTGACTTCTGCAATAAAATATGAATGTGAGGGAATAAAGCATCTTGTCTGCCTGGCTGAGGGTTTGTAATTCTCTCTCAATGATATACATTGACCTCTTGCTTGTAGATGACTAAATGCTACACGGGTCAGAGATCTCAGGGTGATTGAAGGAAAATGAACTGGGAACAAAAGAAAGTTAAAGGGTTTTTGAAGCATTTACATCACAATGAAAGCAGCTGACATAACCCGGTCTATTTTTCAGAAAAGACAGTTATAGTTGACATATTCACAAAGCAATATGCAATCCAGAAAGTGCTCCTAGGGAAAGGGAGATGAGAATAAGACTATTTTCTATTAGAGCTAGGGGCAGACACCATCATTTCAATGCAAATTTTGTGATTTGGATCTAGGCCCAATTCATTTCAGATTGATCCGGACCCAATCCATTCTGATTCATTTCCCAAATCCAAACTGAGATTCAGGAATTTATATCAATAGTTCTTTCCCATTGATTTACAATCTGAAACAGAAGGACTATTGGAAGACAGCAGGTTTCCAAAAAGGCATTTGTCTTGAAATTTTGGTGCTACACACTTAGTAAACCTTGCCATTTGGTGGTGGGGAGGGGGAGCTATTGACAACTCTATTTTCCTACTGTAGTTGTATCATTTATAGTTATCTACAGTTGTGGTTTAAAGTTATTTTGTTATGTATTATTAAAATTGCTACTTAAATATGTGATCAAAATGGATGTGGTCTCCAAAATAAAATCTGAAATGAGAGACCAATCTTCTGGTCATTTAAATCAGTCTGCATGTGTCGTATGTTTGTAAAATCACATTTCCTTTATCAGACAGTATGCCAATTCTATTTTAGTAGCTAATAAACTTTAGTCAGGCTTGTTATGTATAGACACTGTCTTTTGCCATGACAATAATATTTAGCTCTTCTTCCTTTTTAGTCTTGTCTATCAAATAGTTAATGGCTAGTCATTCACCTTTAAATGATAATAAATGTACAAGACAATGCTGCTTGCTCTTGGTCAGCTAAATACAGGAAAAACAAAAACTAGATGTATTTCCTGCCACTTTTAATTAGAATTAGCACAGAAGATACAAACCTCTTGTTAGGATACATTTCCTCAATTGGCTTTTCCCAAGCCACAACCTTTACTGTTTTTTATGACTTGTAAGACACTTATTGGTGCACATGATGTATTATATATTGCCAATAATGTTATATTTTGTTTTCACTGGAAAAGCCAAAACATTTAGAGAAATACTAAGCTTGTTTTTGAATGGCAGCAAGCTATTTAAGTTCTTTTCCAACTTTACCTCCTTGAACCTGTAATACTGTGACTGGTTTCCTTGATTTATCTATGCCATTGTAATTTACAGTTTATGAAATAGTCTTTTCTTTGCAAATAATTGTTTGGGGTACCTTGCATTAGGACTTAATTGCAGAAAGTCAGCAGCAGTCAAACAATCACTCCTGGCAACTACATATTGTCACGAGCACCTTTATTATAACACACCTCTCTATTTGCACAATTGCATCTATTTGCCAATCCATGGTCCTGCACTTATACTTCCACATACCCTTGCATCTTGCACTTCTGCTTTGGCTAATTTTTAAAAAGTGAAATACTACTGAAATTGAAATATTAGTGGCCTGGGAATAATGAGAGAAAGAGTAGGAGAGAAGGAGAATATCATCTGCTGATGTGACATCAGTGCTGGCAAGGTACGGGGTTGGCATCTGTTGTCAGAGCTTTCCTATCAATAGTTGGCACAGGTTAATTGTGGGGAGATGGTGACTGGCAATGATATGAAAATGGCCTTTGATTATGGTCCTATTTCAATGTTGGTTTGCCTCCTTCATGTGACAAAGTCCTGAGTTATTGCATTGAAGCAGCTTCTCAGCTGTGACATTGCAAAATGGTTCAGGTCCCTGCTGTAGCAAGTGGGATCAAACAAAGTGTAAAGAGAAATAGATGATTGCCTTTCATTATTTTGAAATAATGGAATGAATTGGAAATTTACTTCACTATTGTAATGTTCCATTCCCCTAGTTAGTTCAATTTCAAAAAGATAGAACTGTACAGTGGGGGGCAACACTGCAATCGTCATACCACCCTGGAACACAATGGTATTAGACAATGTGAGGGAAAGGTGACTAGGAACCAATTGTTTGTATAGTGATCTACAAATTATTTGGCAACTACAGTACCAGCTTTTCTTATATGCCTAATATTCATTAGTAACTTTGCAAATGACATTGCAGGGTGCATCTGAGAAGAATAAAAATCAATTAACCCCTCTTTCCAAATGCTGGAT